AGAAAAACTTTCTCAAAAAATTGGTTCATAACTACGAGAAACAGACCGTAAAGAGTGAGAGCTTTGAGGCGACAAAAGTTGCCGTCAAATGGAGTGTCGATTCTTACGGAACGGTCACTCATAACGGGAACTATACGAACGGCTCTAATCATAGCATTTCGTTCGCCATAAGTAATGAAAAGTTGTGCCAAAATATTTTGCCCGCAAATGGTGTCCGAGTTATCATTTTTGTTGAGTCCATGGCTATGAATGTGGAGCGAAGAGACACCGTTAGAGAGACGTGGGCTCATCAAACACTTCAACACTCCCTGGGCTTTAGGGTTGTATTCGTGTTGGGCTTACACTCCAAGGCTCAGAGGGCTTATATACAGGTATTGTATATTTGCTATTAAACATGATCCACTATAAAGTGTCTTATATTGTGTACACTATATTCTGTGAATTGTATTCAAATCTTTCAATTTATGTTTATTTGTAAATCACAAGAATATGATTGAAATAGAGAGCGAAACGTTCGGAGACTTAATACAAATCAATGTATGGGAAGATTTCCAGAATCTCACGTATAAATCAATCGCTTCTATCAAATGGTTTGTCGAGTTCTGTCCAAAGAGTGTCTTTTATTTCAAGACAGACGACGACATACCTATACATGCATTCAATTTGATTCAAACTCTCAAACACTTTGAAAGCAATGAGAAGAGAAGCGAAGATTCAATTCTATGTCATGAAAATAAAAGCAGAAAAATAATCAGAAGTTTGCAAAAAGTATCGCAAATAATGCATTCCTATCAACACTCGACCAATCGATTGGAGATTTTAAATGCATTAAAGCATAAAATGCTTAAATATAAGATCTCTTTCGCACAAATGCCCGGATATTATTTCCCACCCTATTGTTCAGGTATTTATTATATTTATTCAATTTGTAGTTTAATTTTTACCATAATTTAAAACAACTGAATATTATTGGCGCTAAAAAGTTGTCGATTAAAACATTATTAAACACAGTGTGTATCAGATATTGATTTATATTTTGCAAACTTTTAGGATTTGGTTATGGATTCAGAGCATCGGTGGCCGAACGCCTCTATTCAATAGCCCTTACTATACCTTACTTTCACTTCGAAGACGTATTCATTACAGGATTTTGTCGACAAAAAGCCAATATCTCTGTGGAAGACACTAAACACCTGACACTTCGACCGGTGTTGAGACCATCAGATGGACTCTGCGCTGCATTCAGTGATCAACGGATTAATGGCAACGAAATGTCATCGAAAGAGATCAGACAACTCTGGAGTAAACCTCCGAATAGTACTCAACGACTATTGTGTCCGAAGATTATAAAGAATGGATGAACGGAATAATCTTTATTAGTTATCAATCGCTTTCAACTCGACTTAAATGATGTCGAGTTTGTGGACACAACTTGTCATCACAACACATACTACCAGTCCTTCTGGAAGTGCTATGACTGGCAAATCTCTTTGTCTGATAATAAACAGACCGCTGATGAATGATTTGCAAAATAAATATCAATGAATAGCTTTATAAGAATAGATTTATTATTACTGTTATATTGCATATCAAGTTCTTGTATAACGTTTATATAGTATTGTTTGTGAATTAAACATGCATTAAATTAAACCACAAAACTGTAATCAATGGTTACATTAGATTATTAAATTATTTGTTTCATTAAAAAAACTGCTGATCATTGAATGCATTGAATGAGTTGCCAAATATTTTGAACATTAAAATAGGAATTAAATAATTAAAAAAAACAAAATTGCGAAAAATGGGAAATGAGTAAAATATAAGTGATTAATAACTAGTCTTTCAGATCTTCAATCGATTACAATAGATATGTCTAATCGATTATAACAATGTCTTCGTCAGAGTCGCCATCAATTTCAATACATTCTGTTACTCCTGAGGCGATCACTGGGTTCGAGACTTTGATGACATACGGCTGCAGGCGTTCAATTGGATCGCAATCAATGAGATCGTCGACTGAGACCAACTCACACTGAATGGCCATATCCTTCATTTCAGGTTTTCGGCGCACAGAAAGACCCGAACCTCTCATTCGCTTCGGCGGCGGTGTCTGCGCCGCCGGCGGCTCGTCGTCGCCGCTATCGATGTTGATTTCGATCGACTCATTGGTCGACAATTGATAAGCAGTGCGTCGAGCGGTGTCCGTAGTTTGGCGGCGCTTAAGAGGCTTTTCGTTGGCCGACGAGTTGGTCGTCGATAATAAGTTAGGATTTATATTTGACGACGAGTTGGCCCTCGAGTTTTGTTTGGCCCGATTGTCGTAGTCTTCTTCTCTTTGACGGATCCGCTCTTCCACTTGAAGACAGTCGTCGCAGTTCCAGACGTCCACATAATTGGAGCGCCCGATGCACTGCCAGTGGGCGCCCTTTGACCCACACGTGTCGCAAATCAATAGCTGCCAATTCCTGGCGTCGGACGAGTGGTTGCGGCCGTTGGGACAAAAGCATTCCTCCTGATCGCAGCGCGAGTGGCGGCGATAGAGATCGTCAAATCTGTTGGCCTCCGTCTCCCAGGAGGCGTCCTGTTTAGGCACATAAATGCCCTGTATTTGGACCATCTCTTTAAACTCTTGGCCACTGTTACAAAGCGGGCATTTGAAGAAATAGCCAGCGCTGAGGGCCTGCTTCTGGATACAGAGCCGATGGATGAGTTTATCGCAACAGACTGTGGCCAACACATCCACTCCCTCGTCAAACTTGAGGCCAGTGTAACAAATGGGACAATCGTTTTTGGCTTCAATGCCACTCTTGAGTTCCTGTTTGGGGCGATGTTTACTGCAATAACAGCTGGAAATGGTATATAAAATCATTAGTAAATATCAATTAACACTTGTTATACTTCGTACTCAAACTTGTCGAAGAACTGACACAACGCCTGACTCTTAAGACCACACGGCAAGTGAAACATCGTTTTGCACTACAAACCAATACATTATAATTAAACAATTGATCATTAATTATATAATACATAGTAAACAACTAAATGGCCGCAACGGCCGTCACATACACTTTTGATGGCACACCCGATGGTCGCGCCGTTGTTTTTACAATAACTGCAGCGCAATCTCTCGCCCCTCTTGTGCTCCTTCCGGATGTCTTCGACGAGAAACCCGTAAATGCCCTCCGAGTCGGCCCCTCTCTGGACCAGTCCTGACGACAACAGCTATTTAACAAAAGCAAACAATGAGTTAATTCAGTGCTTCAAAGTGTGTTGAGTTAGAGTCCATTACCAGACAATAGTGATGAACGAAAATGTCATTAAATTTAATGAATTTCCCGTATTTTATTGATTCGCTGTTTGGATGCAAACAAAACAGACATTTCACGTCGTTTTTACGCCCTTTTTCTGGTATTAAAATTAAATCAAATATTAATTTAATTGTAATTATAAATCAATTCACAAAATACATACTCTCTTTGGTTTTTGAGCTCATTTTGTAACAAACGTTTAACACGTGTTTGGCATAAAAATACAATTATAATACGATAACAATAATAATACTAAGAATGGGATTAAATGATTGATTTGAATCCAATGGCAATCAATTCATTTAATTGTAAATACAATACAAAACGAGTGGACAAACGGTTTGACGCAATGTTTGAGTAATAAAACTGTCGTTGCATTCAATGTGTGCTCACATCAGATGGCAATACAAATGCACACAAAAAGCGGTTCACTATTAGCCGATCGGGAGTTGCGGTCAGTGTTTGTCCGCCAAAATACTATACGTGAAAGTGTGGCCGCCTTTCAAGCCGTGTCTTATCGGCCGCTAATCCCTTACGACCGCCGAAAACGTGTTGTCAATCAAATGCTATGAATGTCTACAACACGTGTTCCCATTGGCTGTCGTGCGAAACCGTTTGCGTTTCCATAGCGACCACAACAGCACTCTATTTAATGCAATGTTTTGTTTACGGTTTAAATGACAGCAAAAATAA